GAAGGATGTGCAGAGGTTTTTAGGGTTTGGGAACTTCTATCGTAAGTTCATCCCAAACTTTGCCCACCTGACGGCGCCCATTACGGACTGTCTCAGCAGTAAGAAGAAGTTCGTTTGGACGGAGGAGGCGGAGCAAGCATTTGAGGAACTAAAAGGGCCTTCGCCTCGGAACAACAGCTCCTGCATGTGGATTTACAAAAACCGATGAGAGTGGAAACTGACGCATCAGACAGAGCGGTTGGGGCGGTGCTTCTCCAGCCAGGGAAGGAGGAGTCAGAGTGGAGACCGTGTGCTTTTTTTCGCGAAAGCTGAACAAATCCGAGAGGAACTACACGGTGTATGACCGAGAACTACTAGCCATTCATGAGGCGTTCCGGAGATGGAGGCACCTGCTAATTGGCGCACAACATAAGGTGCAAGTGTGCACTGACCACAAGAACCTAGAGTATTGGAGGACGGCACGAGTGCTCAACCAACGGCAAGTGAGATGGGCCCAGGAATTCTCCAAATTTAACTTTGAGATTTGTTACGTGCCAGGCCCAGAGAACATTAGGGCGGACGCCTCTCACGCAAACCTGAATATTGGGAGGGGAGGGAGCACCCGAAGAGAGACATGTCATTCCAGAGGACCGCTGGGTGTGTGGGGCGGCATTGGTGGGACAAAGAGAACTGGTAGAAGAAACAGAGAATGATGAATACGCCCAGAATAAGCTCAGAGGTCTTAGGGATGAGGGAGAGGAATCAAGGGGTTTCGAGGAAAGAAATGGAGCTTTGTATTACAAAGGGGCACTGTATATCCCTGAAGGAGACTTAAGGGGGAGGGTACTCAAGCAGTTGCATGACAGCCCCACGGCGGGCATTTTGGGCAACACAAAACCATGTGGTTGGTCACCAGGGAATTTTGGTGGCCTAAGGTGAGGGAGGATGTACGTGAGTATGTAAGAGGGTGCGAGCAGTGCCAGCGAGCCAAAGGGGAAAGGCGGGCGCCGGCGGGGCTATTAGAACCCTTACCAACACCAGAACGACCTTGGGAGGCAGTGTCGATAGATTTTATGACTGATCTGCCGAAGTCCAAAGGGAAAACAGCCATCATGGTGGTGGTAGACCTACTAACAAAGATGTGCCACTTTGTAGCTTGCTCGCATGCAGTCACGGCGGAAGAGACAGCGAAGTTATTTGTAGAACACATTTTTAGGTTGCACGGGGTGCCATTGAGGGTGGTCTCAGACCGAGGAAAACAATTTACTTCCAGGTTCTGGAGGAAGCTCATGAGCTTACTGCAGGTGGAGGTCAACTTTTCGACTGCCCGGCACCCTGAAACCAACGGGCAGGCGGAAAGAGCAAACGGTGTCCTCCAGCAATACCTGAGGTGTTATGTCAATGACAGAGAGAATGACTGGGTAGAAAAGTTGGCGCTGGCGGAATTTGCCTACAACAATGCCGAGAATGTGTCCACAGGGATGAGCCCTTCTTGGCTAATTATGGGTGTCATCCCAGGGCTTTCCCAGGGGGAGAAGGGGAGAGATGGAGCGCACCGGCAGCCGAGCATTTTGTAGAAGAAATGGAAGCAATCCACCGTCAGCTCCAACTCAACTTAGAAAGGGCGAAGGAAGAATACAAGAGGCAGGCAGACAAGAACCGAAGGGAAGGTGAAACCATAAGGGTTGGAGATAGGGTGTGGCTGTCAACCCGAGGGCTGCCGCTCAAAGGAGGTTGTAAGAAATTACGACCCAGGAGGTTGGGTCCCTTTGAGGTCATTCAACAGGTCAACCCAGTGGCTTTCAGGCTCCGGTTACCCAACCACATGAAACTGCACCCAGTATTTCACAGGTCGTTACTGTCACCGTACGAGGGGGGACGAGAAGGGATGGCCACTGGGACCGGTCATAGAAGAAAGAGAATGCAGCAGTCATGTGGCAGAAATCCTTGATGCCAGGTGGAAGGGGAATCAGGTGGAGTATTTGGTAGCGTGGGAAGGAGAACCGGAGTCAGAAAACACGTGGGTAATGGCCAAAGATATCAATGACGAGGTATTGATAGAAATGTTCCATCAAAGGTTCCCGAGGAAACCTCAGCCTGTGGAGAGGTTCCGGAGGGAATACTTTGGGACCACTGAGGAGGAGGAGGAGTTGGAAGGATTCCCAGAATCGGAAGGGGAAGGGGAGATGGACTCGGAGGAGGAGGAGTGCTTCGAGACCAGGAACCGCAACAGGTGGAGAGAAGTGTTCGAGACATCGGAAGATGAAGGAAGTTCATTCCGGGTTTTGCCTCCTCACCGCCCGTAGAGGAGGGGGCGAGAGGGGGTGAAGGGGGCCCTGGAGGGGAGGTGGATGTCAGGGAACTGCCATCGGAAGGAAGGGAGGTGAAAGGACTCAGACAGGTTGGAAGAGATTCAGCTGCTGAAGAGGGAACCAGCAAGGGAGAGAAGCTGAACTGAGGGAGGTGAAAGGGCTCAGACAGGTTGGAAGAGACTCAGCAGCGGAAGAGGAAACCAGCAGGGGAGAGAAGCTGAACTGAGGGAAAGGGAGCTGGGGGATGGCTCAGAGATACTTCCAGCGAAAACAGTGGTGAGGTTTCCGGACCTCCTGTAGCGACACCCACTCCTCGCCGGAAACTGTCACGCAGAGAGTCCAGAAGACGTGTTTCCGTTAAGGAGCTTTTATGTTGGAAGCGATTACGAAAGCAACCACTGTCGGAATCTTCTAGTGACTAG